ATATTGTGCTAGTTTATACGTACCACAAAGTGAATCAGCTATACGTATACATATATCCCCTATTTTTTGGATTTCCTTCTCGTGTAGGTCACCACAGAGCATTGAGTAGAGTTCCCTATGTTGTGCACGTTTCTTTTTCCAGGAACTATATAGTCACATATGTTGCCCATTTTTCTATTAAGTTGTTAGCCTTTTTTTTTTCTGATTATAGTAGCCTCGAGAAATAATTTGTGGACTAGATAAACATAGTTCAATTTGTAAACGTATATTAAAAGGTAGGTAGTGATAGACCACCTCCCTACTCCTGCATCCTCCCTATCCAATAGAGAACCAAGGTTATTCATTTCTCGGGTGTCCTTCCAGAAGTTCTCTGTACATATTCAACAAATAAGAGTATCTTCCCCCCACACTTTGACAAACCATAACATCCTCTCACTCTGACCCACATCTTGCTTCTCAAGATACGTTGGAGAGTGAGCTGCTTGTGTACACAGAGCTCTTCCTCATTCTTTCCACACCTGCAGAGCATCCTACAGCAAAGATGGACCACAATTTACCAGCTGTTTCTTTTCCACCTTTTGTTAGGACTACTGTTAGGACTACTACTCTGTAATGAAAACCTCTCACATAGAATGTTTCACTTATGTGAAACAAGTAAATAAATAAATTCCTAGAAGAAATGCTGGGCTTGTCTACTGGTAATCCTGAGATTTTGCCAAAACAGACCCGGATGGATGTTGTATTCACTGACATGCCCCACTCCCCTGCCCCCCAGCCGTGTTTGTGCATGTTTCATTTCAAAGACTTTTCAGGGACTTCCCTGGTGGCTCAGTGGTTAAGAATCTGCCTGGGGACTTCCCTGGTGGCGCGGTGGTTAAGAATCTGCCTGCCAATGCAGGGGACACGGGTTCGAGCCCCGGTCCTGGAAGATCCCACATGCTGCGGAGCAACTAAGCCCATGCGCCACAACTACTGAAGCCCACGTGCCTAGAGCCCGTGCTCCACAACAAGGGAACCCACCACAATAAGAAGCCCGCGCACTGCATTGAAGAGTAGCCCCCGCTCAATGCAATTAGAGAAGGCCCGCCCGCAACAACAAAGACCCGACGAAGTCAAAAAGAAAGAAAGAAAGAAATTTATATTAAAAAAAAAAAAGAGTCCACCTGCTAATGCAGGACACACGGGTTTGAGCCCTGGTCCCGGGAGATCCCACATGCCGTGGAGCAACTGATCCCATGCAGCACAACTACTGAGCCTGCACTCTAGAGCCAGTGAGCCATAATTACTGAGCCCGCGTGCCACAACTACTGAAGCCTGCTCACCTAGAGCCTGTGCTCCGCAATAAAGAGAAGCCACCACAACGAGAAGTCCGCACACTGCAACAGAGTATCCCCCACTCGCCACAACTAGAGAAAGCCCACGCGCAGCAACGAAGACCCAAAGCAGCCAGTGAATAAATAAATAAATATATTAAAATTTTTTTTTTTTTAAAAAGGCTTTTCAAGGATAATTTTTTACTGCTTGCTTTTCACCTTACTTGCTTACTTTGGGAAAGCACTGCCGTTTAAGAAGAGGCTTTCCGAAAAAAAATAAAATAAAATAGACGTTCTGGGGCTTCCCTGGTGGCGCAGTGGTTGAGAATCTACCTGCTAATGCAGGGGACACGGGTTCGAGCCCTGATCTGGGAAGATCCCACATGCCGCGGAGCAGCTAGGCCCGCAAGCCACAACTACTGAGCCGGCGCATCTGGAGCCTGTGCTCCGCAACAAGAGAGGCCATGGTAGTGAGAGGCCCACGCACCGCGATGAAGAGTGGCCCCGCTTGCCACAACTAGAGAAAGCCCTCACACAGAAATGAAGACCCAACACAGCCAAAAATAGAATAAAAATAAATGTGTGACTCTGTTCTTTTCAAAAAAACAGATTGATTGATTTTTTTTTGTTTTTTTTTTTTTGTTTTTTTTTGTTTTTTTTTTTATTTTTATTTATTTGGTTGTGCCGAGTCTTATTTGTGGCAGGCAGGCTCCTTAGTTGTGGCTCCAGGGCTCCTTCGTTGTGACTCTCAGTCTCCTTAGTTGTGGCAGGCAAACTTAGCTGCGGCATGCATGTGGGACCTAGTTCCCGGACCAGGTATCGAACCTGGACCTCCTGCATTGGGAGAGTGGAGTCTTATCCACTGCGCCACCAGGGAAGTCCCAAACTGAGCGTCTTTCCTACTGAGTCTGGATGAAATCATAGAACCCTTTCAATACAGTGTCCACAGTCACTACAAATCAATCCAAGTTGGCACAGCTGGTCAGGGGATGGTACTCTAAGGTCTCAATTAAGCATTCTTCCTTTTTTTCTTTTTCTCTTCTTTTATTTATTTTTTTTATTTAGCCATGCCATGTGGCATGTGGGATCTTAGTTCCCCTACCAGGGATCGAAACTGTGCCCTTTGTGTTGGAAGTGTGGAGTGTTAAAAAAAAAAAAAAAAAAAAAAAGAAGAGGCTTTCCTTAAAACACTTCGATATGAAACAACCAAAATAGCAAGGAGCTGGGGGGGGGGACACCCTCGCATATATAAATATAGTGTAAAGCGCCTTTGCTTTCTACACAAAGGGACATCTCCTGGACGTATGGATATATAATACTAAATGGTGTATTATAGCTTTTACAATCCTATATTTATTATTTCCTTATTGTAGGTAATAAAAAATCTTCTTCCCTGTTTGTTGTTGAGTATGAAATTTTTCCCCCTAGGCAGTTAAAACATTTTGTATTTTTCTTTTTACAGTTTGTTGAGCTTTGTTTTGCTTAGAAAGGCCTTTTTCTCCCTCCCTTTCCCCATATTTTCTTATTTTTTAACTAAAATATTTGATCCCTCTAGATTAAATTTGGATGGAAATCCAAACTTATTTTTCTCCAGCTGGCCAGCCAGTTGTTCACTGTTTGTTGAATGAAAATCTCCCTCCATTGTTCTGAAATGCCCCTTCCTCATACTAAGTCCCATGTGTAATCATGTCCATGTCTGACTTTATATTCTGTTCGTTCTGCCTTATTTCCTTCTGCTTAGGTATTTCCTAGCAATTCTTGCATGTTTACTTCCCACATGAATGTTTTTATTAATATTTAAAAAATTTTTTTAGTTTATATTGGAGTATATTAGTAATTAGTGTACTAATTAGCAATGTTGTGTTAGTTTCAGGTGTACAGCAAAGTGATTCAGTTATCCATATACATGTATCTATTCTTTTTCAATTTTTTCCCCCATTTAGGTTATTACAGAGTACTGAGCAGAGTCCCCTGTGCTATACAGTAGGTCCTTGTTGGTTATCTATTTTAAATATAGCAGTGTGTACATGTCAGTCCCAAACTCCCAATCTATTCTATCCCTCCCCCACGCCCTTCCCCCTGGTAACCATAAGTCTGGTCTCTAAGTCTGTGAGTCTGTTTCTGTTTTGTAAATAAGTTCATGTTTACTTTCCACGTGCACTTTGAACTCAGCTGACTGTTCATGACAGTTACCACCCTCCAGCCATGGAGCGCCCCACCACGGGACATGCTCTGTTCTGGACGTTTCACTGAGAAATCTTTTTCAACTGCACAATAGGCCAAAGGGAAGACATCTGAACCATTTTGCAAATGTCAAAGTGAAACATCAAACGTCACAAAGTTCATCAGTGAGTGAGCGAGGATTCTCCAGGATTCCAAGTGACTCCACATTTATTCCCTCTGTGAGTTTATCTACTTGCTTAAATCACAGCAACAGGACAACTCCAGGGCCTCTAGTAATAGTGTTTTAATAGTCATGACCCTTAAGTTCCACCTACTTGTATCTGTGAATAACCTCGCTTCCTAAGTTTAATTCTCCATCTCAGAAAGCTGTAGCACATAAAATGTTAAGGCTTAAAAATATTTTTTTTACATAATTAGATTTAACTTCTTTACAATTAAGTCAATTCTGTTTTTTCTTATTTATCATACAGCTGGAGATTAAATGCATTGAAATGTCCAGAAATTTCTGGAAACGAACTTCCCCTCTTCTCCTTCTGCAGCTGTGAGACCTTATCACTGGGTCTCCCTAACATCACTCACCCTTTGTCTTTATTTGCTCCGTGTGTAGCTTTTTCTGATTTTCCCTCCAGTTCACTAATTACGTGTTCAGCTCTATGGAATCTGCTGCTAAACCTGTTCCTTGAGTTTGTTACTGTGCATTTTTTTATTTCTAGAAATTCTATTGGGTTCTTTTGCAAAACTGTTAATGACTTTTTATAAAATTCTGTTTCCTGAAGGTATCTCAAAGGCTGCTTTTAGTTCATTAGTCATAATCAGCCTACCTAATAAACAGCCTACATCTGATGATCCTGATTTGTCTGAAATACTTGGAAGCTGTTTTCCTGGAGGTGCACTGGAGAGTGCATTTAAAGAACTATATAGAAGAACGTCTTGAGGCTAGTGAAAATAATTTTCTCCAGAAAAGATATGTGTTTGCTTTTGCTAGGGGTCTGAGTCATTACCACACCAGGACCATCTTTTAAAATTGTATATATTCAAGGCTTGAAAATCCCTGGACAACCCAGTCAATTCAAAATAGGATATAATTCAACACAAGGTGTTCACTTGAGGTTAACGTCTACGTCAATGGACTTGGGCTCCCGATTACTTAGTGTGCAGAGTCTACTGTCAGACTCCTCAGCTCTAACTCGGGGGGGTTAACAAGTGCCCTTGGGTAAAATGTGGCTTCCTGGTACGCTTCCACAGGGCTGGGGGGGCGCATCCCTGGGGGCACAGTGCGATGGTTAGCTCAGACTGGTGGAGAGCACCAGGATGCTGGGGTGTTAGAAGGACGTTACAGTGAAAGAGGAAAACAAGCAGGAGATGTAAAAGATACGGAGAAGAGGACATCAAAAGGCCCTCAGACTACCCCTGAGACCGGTGATTGAGGCTATCAATGTCTCCTTCCTGACGGTCACATCTGCACACAAAGGGGGCTCCTGCAAGAGGGCTTCCCTGGACCCACCCGTCACTCCCCATGGCTCTTCTTCACTGCTCTTACCCCATCCGAATTCTTTTCCTTGTTTGGGGGGCTGTTTACTGTCTGTCTCCTTCGGCAGGATATAAGCTCATTGTGAGCATCTCTGGGACCCCAGGGCCTGGAACAGAGCCTGACACAGAGGGGCTTCTTCACAGGTCTCTGGTGAACACGTGGATAACGCGCAAACCACTGATTTCCGCGGTAAGAGACGGCAAGTCAGGAGGCGGCAGTACCCTGCGAGGAGAGTGGGGTTATGGAGCTGATCTGAGATGAGGACCCAGAAGGCTGCTCAAGGGGCAGAGCCCAGGAAACAGGAGGATCTACAGGACCCTGGGAAGGGGGAAGATCAGAAACAGGGAAGGAATCATCCAATTAAAGGTAATAAAGACCAACCTCACCAACCTTGGTTTCCTTCTTCCAACAAGGGTTACAAATGAAAGGCATTCGGAGCAGAGGATGGTCTCGACCACACCTTAATGTCTTGGGACCTAAACATACTAGACGTCTTTTTTTTTTTTTTTAATTAACACAAACATTTTAGAGCCGTTTTAGGTTCACAGCAAAATTGAGGGGAAGATACAGAATTTCCTATATATCTCCTGTCCTGCATTATCAACATCCCCACCAGAGTGTATATTTGTAAGAACTGATGAACCTACACATCATTAATGAACCGACAATGATGTGATGAACCTACACATCATTATGTATATTTGTAAGAACTGATGAACCTACACATCATTAATGAACCGACACATCATGAACACCAAAAGTCTAGTTTACGTTAGACCTCACTCTCGGTTTTGCACACGTTTGCACAAATGTATAATGACATATATTCATCATTATGGACTCATACAGAGTGATTTCCCTGCCTTAAAACCCCTTTGCCCTGCCTAGTAATCCTTCCAACCCACTCCCTGCCAATCACTGATTATTTTATTGTCTCCGTAATTTTGTCTTTTCCAGAATGTCATGTAGTTGGAACCATACAGTGCATAGTCTTCTCAGATTGGCTTTTGTCACTTAGTACTATACATTTAAGGTTCCTCCGTATCTTTTTATGACTTAATAGCTCACTTCCTTTCAGTGCTGAAATATTCCATTGTCTAAACATACCAGTTTCTTTATCCACTCACGTACTAAAGGAAATCTTGGTTACTTCCAAGGATGGGCAATTATTAATAAAGCTGCTATAAACCTCTGGGTGCAGGTTTTCATATGAACATAAATTTTCAAGCCCTTTGGGTGAGTACAAAGGAGTACAAATGCTAGATCGTATGGTTAGCATATGTTTAGTTTTGTAAGAATCTGCCAAACTATTTTCCAAAGTGACTGGACCATTTTGCATTCCCACCAACAACGCATGAGAGTTCCTGTTGCTCCACATCCTTGCCAGCATTTGGTGTTGTCAGTGTTCAAGATTTCGGCCATTCAAATAGGTGTGTTTTGGTAACTTATTTTTGCTTCTAATTTGCATTTCCCTGATGACATATGATGTGGAGCATCTTCTTCTATGCTTATTTGCCATCTGTGTATCTTCTTTGGTGAGGTGTCTGGTAAGGTCTTTGGCCCACTTTAACAGGTTGTCTGTATTCTTGTTGTTGAGTTTTGAGTTCTTTGTATATTTTGGATAACAGTCCTTCATCAGATTGTTAAAGGTCTGCAGTTTGTCTTACAATTCTCTAGACATTGTCTTTTTCAGGGTAGTAGTATCCAATTTTAATAAGTCCAGCTTATCAATGATTTCTTTCATGGAAGGTACCTTTGGCATTGTATCTAAAAAGGCTGATCACCATACCCAAGACCATGTAGGTTTTCTCTCATGCTAACTTCTAGGAATTTTATAGTTTTGAATTAATTTTTGTAAAGGTTATAAGATTTTTGTCTAGATTCATTTTTTGCACGTGAATGTCCAGTTGTTTCAGCAAAGTTGTTTCAGTTAAAGAGACTATCTTTTTTCCACCGTATTGCCTTTGCTCCTTTGTCAAAGATCAGTTAATTATACTTAATGCAGGTCTATTTCTGAGCTCTCTATTCTGTTCCCTTGATCTATTTGCCTTTTCTTTCACCCATATCACACTGCCTTGATTATTGTAGCTTTACAGTAAGTATTGGAGTCGGGTAGTGACAATCTTCTGACTTTGTTCTTTTCCTTCAATATTGTGTTGGCTATTCTGGGTCTTTTGCCTCTACAAATAAACTTTAGAATCAGTTTGCCAACATGCACAAAATAAGGGCTTTGATTGGGATGGCACTGAATCTATAGATGAAGTTGGGAAGAACTGACATCTTCAAAATATTGAGTCTGTCTGCAAACACAGAATATCTCTCCATTTATTCAGTTTTCCTTTGCTTTTGTTCATCAGAGTTCTGTAGTTTTCCTCATATAGATTTTGTACACCTTTTGTTAGATTTATACCTAAGTATTTCATTTTGGGGGGTGCTAATTCAAAGGTATTGTGTTCTTAATTTCAAATTCCACTTGTTCATTGCTGATATATAGAAAAAGGTGGACTTTTATGTCAAATTGATAAACTTTGTATCCTGCAACCTTGCTATAATCACTTAGTTCCCAAAGTTTTTTTGTTGATTCTTTGAATTTTCTACATAGATGATCATGTCATCTGTGAACAAAGACAGTTTTAGTTCTTCCTCCCCAATGTGTATACCTTTTCTTTCTTTTTCTTATTAGTCTTAATGAATAGATAGAATGTCCAGTACTGGAGTAGTGAGAGGGGACATCCTTGCCTTGTACCTGATCTCCGTGGGAAAGCCTCGAGTTTCTCACCATTAAATACGATGTTAGCTGTGGATTATTTTGTAGATATTCTTTATCAAGTTGAGGCAGCTCCTCTGTATTTCTAGTTTCCTGGGAGTTTTAATCATGAACTCTGTGTTGTGGGTGTGGTGGATTTTGTCAAATGCTTTTTCTGCATCTATTAATACAATCATGTGATCTGTCTTTTTCAGCCTGTTCATGCGATGGATTACGCTAACTGATTTTTGAATATTGATTCACTCCTGCAGAGCTAAGATAAAGCCTGCTTGGTTGTGGTGTAAAATTCTGTTTATACATTGTTGGATTTTATTTGCTAATATTTTGTTGAGAAATGTTGCCTTTATGTTCATGAGAGATACTGGTCTATAGTTTTCTTTTCTTGTAATGTCTTTATCTGGTTTTGATAATAGGGTAATGATAGCCTCCCAGAATGAGTTGGAAGCATTCCCTCTATCTCCTGAGAGAGAGTGTAGAGAATTATTACAATTTCTTCCTTAAATGTTTGTCAGAATTCACCAGTGAACCCATTTGGGCCTGGTACTTTCTGTTTTGGAATGTTATTAATTATTGATTCAATTTCTTTAATGAATATAGGCTGATTCAAATTGGCTATTTCTTCTGGTGTGAGTTTTGGCAAATTGTCTCTTTTAAGGAATTCGCCCATTTCATCTAGAGTATGAAATTTGTGGGCATAGAAGTTGTTCACAGTATTCCTTTATTATCCTTTTAATGTCCATAGGATCTGTACTGATGTTTTCAATTTAATTTTTGATATTGGTAATTTATGTTCCCTCTTGTTTTATCTTAGTTAGTCTGATTAGAGGCTTATCAATTTTATTGATCTTTTCAAAGAACTAGTGTTTGGTTTAATGGATTTCCTATTTTCTATTTTACTGCCCTAATTCTTATTATTTGTTTTCTTGTACTTACTTTGGATTTGATTTGCTTTTCATTTTCTAGTTTCCTAAGGTAGACACTTAGGTTATTAACTTTAGATCTTTCTTCTTTTCTAATACATGCATTCAATGCTATAAATGTTGTCTAAGTACTGCTTTGGCTGCATTCCACAAATTTTGATAAGTTGTGTTTTCATTTTCATTTGGTCCAAAATATTTTAAAATTTCTCTTGAGAATTCTTCTTTGACCCATGTGTTATTTAGAAGTGTGCTGTTTAATCTCCATGTATTTTTGGATTTTCCAGATATCTTTCTGTTATTGAATTTTAGTTTAATTCCATCATAGTCTGACAACAGATGTTGTATAATTTCTATTACTTTATAGTTGTTAAAGTGTGTTTTATGGTCCAGAATGTGCTCTATCTTGGTGACCATTCCATGTGAGCTTGAGAAGAATGTGTATTCTGCTATTGTATCCAATAAAGTTAAACATACACTTAGCATACAATGCAGCAACTCCACCCCAAGGCTATCCCTAGAAAACAAACTGCATGCATTTATGTTCATAGTATCCACAGAAGATTATAGTCAAAACCCAGATATAACCCAAAAGTCCATCAACAGGAAAACAGATAAACAAATTGTGGTATACTTAGAGTAAAATACTCACTGATTTAAAAAAAAAAAAAGAATGCACTGCTGATAAGTGCAACAACATGGATAACTCTCAAAAACAATATGCATACCTACTGAATGAGTGATCACATTTAGATGAAGTTCAAGAGTGGATAAAACTAATCTGTGGTGAAAAAAGATAGAATAGTGGTTTCCTCTGAGCACAGGGTTGGAAAGATATTCAATGGGAAAGGGCACGGGGAAAACTTACTGGTGCGATGGAGAAGTTCTTTATTTGGGTGGAAGTTATAGGGCTATGTGTGTATTTTACGCATATAAAGTATACTTCAATGAAGTAGGTTTATTGTAGGGGACAGATGACAGAGCTGGATGGTGCCACAGAAGCACATTTACAGCTCAGTCTGGCCAACGCAGCACACAAGCCACCCTGGTCAAGTGCCATTTCAGACCCGGAGTGGCCCCCTCTGAAGCCCGCCCTGGGCTCTGACTGGCTGCCCACACTGCGAGCTGTGTTCACCCTTCTTCAGGGAGATTGGAGGGAACAGTCTGTGGTCCTGTCTCAACCTGGACACACTCCCCCACTACACTGTATCCTGCTCTTCCTTCAAGGCTTCCACCAAGCCTCTCTTTCTCGCTGCTGCCTCTCTTCCCCACATGCTTCTCATCATCCCAGACTCTCCAGCTACCCTCCGCTCACAGGAGGCTGGTCTAGGAGCCATGGCATGGCTGTGACTTGGGGTCACGAGTAGCTGCACAGATTGGACATCATCACTCATGCATATGTACACAAACAGAGGATGAGACCCAAAGTGTTTTGGTTTTTCTCACTGCTTTGTAAAATTAAGTGCTCACTGCTTTTTTTTTTTTTTGCCTTTCCTTAATTTCACATACTGAATTAAACATACTTTTCTTTTTAAGTGTTAGGATCACTGGATTTAATTTTTTATTTCTTTTGTGTCCTCTCACAGGGCTTTGTGGTCAATGACCATTCGGTTTATACTACAGACCAGCAGTTCTCAAAGTATGGTCAGAGGACCCCTGGAGGATCCATGAGACCATTCAGGGAATTTGCAAGGTCGAAACTTATACATTATAACATTAATTGCCTTTCCCACTCTCATCCTCCCAGGAGTGTATGGTAGAGCTTTCCACCGTATACTGAGAAGGTCTACATGACTCAGTGAACCAGCATTTTCCAAATGATGGATGCAGAATGATACAAAATCATGCAAGGACAAAAGACCCGTTCCAAGTGCCAAACAGACCAGTACATTTTCACGTAACAGAGTAAGAAACATTCATTTTTAGATTCTACGTTGCAATTCATCTTTAAGAAACTACTATTTGTTGGATTTTGGCATAGTATCAAAGAAGGATGTCCACAATTATGTGAGAAGGATATTAAGATACTCCACACTGTTCCGACTACATATCTATGTGAGGCCAGAGTTTTGCCAATCCTTCAACCAAAACAACATATTGCAACAGACTGAATACAAAAGGCGCTGTGGGAACCCAGCTGTCTTCTGCTAAGGACATTAAAGAGATTTGCAAAAGTGTAAAACAATGCCACTCTTTTCACTAGATATTTTGTTTGGGAAAGTAAAATTATTTTTCATAAAAACATTTATGTTAACATGCAATACTCTAGTGTTATTTTTAAATCAGTTAACAAATCTTTTTAAATGTCCTGACTTTTAATTTCAAATGCGTAACCTACAGAAACAAAAACTTTTCTGGGTCTTCAGTCACTTTTAAGTGTGCAGAGGGGTCCTGAGATGAAAAAGTTTGAGGATGGCTGCTTTAGGCTGTCTGACTAAAATACTGAGCAGACCCTTTAGAAATGAAAGGGTCAGACAGACCTGGGTTTCCACCAGTGTCCCACACTGCACTAATGGATTTGGAGCAACTAATTTAATATCCTTAAACCTCAGGGTTTGGGGTTTTTTAAATTAATTAATTAATTTGTTTGCGCCAGGTCTTAGTTGCGGCACGCGGGAGCTTCAGTTGCGGCATGCGGGATCTAGGTCCCTGACCAGGGATCAAACCCAGGCCCCCTGCATTGGGAGTGCGGAGTCTTAACCACTGGACCACCAGGAAAGTCCCTCGGGGTTTTATTTTTAATCTGTGAAATGGTAAGAATAACACCATTTTCAGAGCTGCTGAGATTAAGTGATCTAAGGCATGGACGGTACCAGCGCAGACCACCTGCAGCTAGTAGGCACCCGGACATTTCATTATTTATGCATGTTGCACTTGGTCCTATAAGGCTTTGAGGCAGCCAGAAACTCGGCTGAGTTGGGAGCGAAGTTCAGGACCCTGGCAAGCTGATCAACTACGAGAAAAGCAAAGGCTCTTCATGTCCTGGAACACATCCTGTAAGGCCATAGGAGGGTGGAAGGGCTGACCCTTCAGAGTTCTTCCAACCTTGCATTGAGGGGCCAGAAATGCAAACAGAGCAGCTCTGCGGAGTTACAGGTCGCAGTTCAATCCAATTCAATTCGCCAAATGTTTATGAAGCATCTACTAGGTGGCAGGCACTATTTAAGCCCCCCAAATGCATCAGGGGACAAAACTGACAAAGACCTGGGTCTTAGGCAGCTCACCTTTTAGTGCAAAGTTATGAAAAGTGAAGCAGCAACACAGCGTCCTAGGGAGGACCCACCTGCAGAAAGGAAAACTCTCGGCAAGGGAGAGGGGCCGAGTACGTGTACAGTGACCCGTAAAGCCTCTCGCGCAGGGGTCATGCAGTGCGCTGTGGGGAGGCACTGGTGATGTTGGGACGCTGGAGCCAGGGATGCTGGGGGTGATGACAAGTGGGACGTCGGGCTGCCCTGGAGCAAGATGAGGGAGGGAGAGGGAAGCAGCCCGAGACTGGGGAAGGCACCTCTTCGGTGAAAACTTTCAACGCTCTTCCTAATCACAACTCCGTCAGCAGCTTCCTGGTCTGCAATGGGTAGGGAGGAAGAGAGCCATCCAGGGTCTGTGACTCTGGCTTGGCAGAAGGTGTAGACCTCTGAGTCTGAATGGGGCCACACGAAGCCGGGAACAGTGAGCTGAGAGTGTAAAGACACCTCTCTGACCTCCTTTCCGTCACCATTCTGGGCTGCTTCCGTGTTCTGGGTTGCAACCTGGATGGGCCAGATGGTAACGCACACTTGAAGGTCCCACGCTGACTGTACCCGGGGTTTCCTTATGAACAGCCACTGTTCGTGGGAAGGACTGGTGGGTGTGTCCAGAGCGGTGCATCTGGACACTTGGAACTGGTCTTGTTTGTTTTTGTTGTCAAGTTGTTACTTGCAGACTGTTTCTCTGACAGTCTCCTAAAGGCCCCAGTGTGTTTGTGCAGATAATCCGTGGTGACCTTGGGGCTGCAGAAATCCACTTTGAAACACGTAAGGTATTGGGAAAAGTCCAAATTTTTCGACTGTTCTGACTGGGGGTGTAATTGTGACTGGGGGTGTTTTTATCCCACGGTTTAAAATGTTTCCTATATATTTCCGGCACCATCACGCTGCCGTGGTTGACACAGCGAGACAGTGAGAAACTGAAGCGGAAGTTAGGCTTCACAGGAGACTCATTTGTGGGGAGAAAAGGCACCCGATTTTCATGAGCTCGAGTGATAGATACAGAAGTGAGTGACGAGCTCCTAGGGGAGGCTGGAGTGACTGTTGCCCATTTGCTGAACGGAGGGTCCATTTGGAGACTGGGAAAGAAGTTTTGGCCAAAAGTGTAATATAAACCAGTACTATAATTTACAGGGGCATCTAACTGTCTAGTGCTTGGCGTGGGTGGTGCTGTAAGCCCCCCTGAGCAGTGTGAAACCCTATGCTCGATGACAGATCCCCGGCCGCCCCCCTTGTAGGGTGAGGCAGTTGGAGTGCGCAAGGCGACGATAGTAGTCCAGAGCCACTCAGCTAGAACCTGGGACCCTGCAGTCGGGGCTCCTGCCTTCCCGGAGCGTCGCGCCCCCTTTCATAAAGATGTATCTATACCGAGGTCACCAGGTCCTCGAGGGTCGAGGGGAAATACACACTGACCACACAGAGGCCGTGGGGACCACACGCCATGCCTCTCCCTCCTCGACCTTCTGTCACCTGAGCATCAGTTCTCTGCTTATACACACCCCACCTGGAGCACAAGCCGCGCGAGAAACAATAACAAAAACCCAGCGCCCAAGTTCCTTTCCTTTGTTGCTGGTTTCCACTCTTTATGAAACTATTTTTGTTGGCTTCAGTGGCTGAAATCTTTAGGAGGAAGAGCATGGAAACTGGATCAGACTGACTCGGTTCTCCTAGTTCTTTCCCTTAGCAGCTGTGTGGTCTGGGGTGTGAGCCAATGGCGGGGGTGGGAGGAGGGGCACAACACCTCAGAGGACAGAATAGAGAGGGAACCTAGAACGATGCCGGATGCAGGAGAGGCACCCCACAAATGGTTGATGTTATCATCTTCATGGGTCATTTCGTCTCTCACTATCATAAGCGATCAAGAGAAAATCTAGCTGCATTTCAGTTTTGAGTTAGAAAAAAGTAACGTAAGGGACTACCAAAGAAACCCTGTATGACACCTGTCCTAGGATATTCCAAAGAGAAAAAATGTAAATCCTTCGGGAAAGAAAACTAAACAAAAAATCTCAACAGCATAGGTACGAAATAGTCCAGAACCGCTAAATGGAACGACACGGAAAACATTTCTGAAACTCAGAGATCGGTGAGATGGACTGAGCTGCAACATGTCCACAGCTCTCAGCTGTGTAGGACCGCCTTTCTCCTTTCCTGAACGCAAAGCACCCCTTATCAGGCCAAGAGCATACTGCCTGGACCCCCGCATGGATCACAGCACCCCCTATTCTCTTCCTTCTTCCTGTGAAGATCGCAGCCCTCCAGACATCCACCCGGCCCGGGGCGCTTCCAGGAGTCGCCTCAGAATGAGGCGGTTGAAGCTTGGAATCGCAACGTTTTGAACACTTTTCCTCGGGGAGGTGTTGGAGAACTGAAGATATACGGAGTGAAAAAAGGGAGGGACGAGACCTTGCAGAAGTCACGAGCGCAGAATCCCCTGGGGTCCCCGAGCCACGCGGTTCTCATGACGTCACTCTGACAGCCCTCACTGGTCCCCCTACCTGCTGCCACCCCTCCTTTCCTCTTTGCCACGCCCCCCCGCCCCCGGGAATCGCCATGCCTGCCATGCTTTCGGGGAACAGCAGAGGCTCGCCCTCCCCCGCTGCAGCTTCTGGAAGCCTCTGCGGGGGGCGCGGTCGCTGGCCGCTCAGGTGGGGTCGGGGGCGCAGGTGGCAGCCAGCCGGGAGGTCCTGGGTCAAGTGGTGTTCGCCCTCAGGCCCCCTCGGGGGACGAGGACGGAGGCGGGCGCAGGTGTCCCACGCGCTGAGGAGGCCGGGGGACTGGAGTCCGACCCCTGCAGGGCATCCCCGACGTGAGGCTCTCCGTCCCCGGAAATCAGCCGCGCCGCTACCCTCGGGCTCGTTCCTGAGAGCCCCTGGCGTGCCGCTCCCTCCCTCGGCGGCCTGCTCGGCGGCCAGCTTCCCAGCCGACCCCGGCCCGGGCCCCGCGGTCCCTTCCCGCCCAGCATCCCGCCCGGGTCTCCTTTCGGCCCTGACCCCGCCCCCGCCTCCGTCCCACCCCGCCCCCGGCCCCTTCAGACCCGGAGCTGCGCCTCCTGTCTCGCCGCTTGGCCACTTCTGGTCTCCGCGCGCTGGGAGCAGTCGGCGCCGCGCCCACGCCGTCCACGCCATCCCCGCCACCGCCGCGTACGCCTGGCCGGGTCTACACAGGCTCTCCCGCCGCTCTGGGACCGCACGTCGAATCCTCACGGGCTTCCCCTCCCGCCGGATGGCAGGTGAAGCAACTCATCTCTACAGCCTCTCCCGCGTCGCAGATGCCGGGTGTGGGTGTGGGTGTGGCCTTTGCGTCCATCACCGCCTTTCCTGCCCCCACGCACCTCCCCACGTGTTCCCCGGGTTCCGTCACCGCCTTTCCTGTCCCCCCAACGTGCTCCCTTGGGCCCACACCATTTTCCCTGCCGGGTGGACCCCTGGGAGAAGCAGGAGCCCGCAGCGACCTTCCTAAGGCGGCCCTGCCTGGTGGCCCCTGCACTCCCTTAGCCTTGCCTGGGGCTGTGTTTACTGAAATTGCTCGACCAAATGAGCCTTCTCCCTGTATGAGGCTGCTCTGTGTGATGCCCACAGCCAAGTTCCCGAGGCTAAGGGGAGTGCATTCAAAAAGGGTGGGCTGTGTGTTTCTAGAAAGTTGTGCATTTCTTCTAGGTTGTCAAATTTGTTGGCATGTAATTGTTCATAGTATTCTTTTATGTTTTTTTTTGTATTTCTGCAGTATCAGTTGAGATTTCTCCTTTTTCATTTCTTATTTTGTTTATTTGGGTTCTCTCTCTTCTTGGTGAGCCTAGCCAGAGGTTTGTCAATTTTGTTTACCTTTTCAAAGAACCAGCTCTTGGTTTTGTTGATTTTTTCTGTTGTTTTTTTAATATCTATTTTATTTATTTCCTCCCTGATCGTTATTATTTCCTTCTTCTGCTGACTCTACATTTTGTTTGTTCTTCTTTTTCTAATTCTTTTAGGTGCTAGGTTAGGATGTTTAGTTGAGATTTTTCTTGTTTTTTGATGAAGGGCGTGTTGCTATGAACTTGTGGTTGCCAAGGGGGAAGGGGGGAGGGAGATGGATGGACTGGGGGTTTGGGGTTGGTAGATGCAGACTATTACATTGAGCATGGATAAACAAGGTCCTAATCTATAGGACAGGGAACTATACTCAATATCCTGTGATAAACATAATGGAAAAGAATATTAAAAAAAGAATGTCTATATGTGTATAACTAAGTCACTGCTGTACAGCAGAGACTGCCACCACACTGAGTCAACTACACTTCAATAAAAAAAAAGGGCTGGATGTTGGAAATGGCCCACTTCAGGTGCAGTGTATGAGCTCCCTCAGCCAGGAAGCCCCCATTCAGTGCTCTGTCCACCAGCACAATCCTCGCCACTTCTTCAGGTCAGGGCTTGGCTTCCCCACTGCCAAAGTCCTCTGTCCTTTTATAATCATGCTTCATTTAAAAAAAAAGAAGTATGAGAAGCCCCGGATGAAGTGCTGTAGAATTAACTTCCATATTAAAATGTTTCTGTGAAAATGCTCCCCACCTCCCCTTCGTTCTCCTGACCCATGCCCCTCACAGTTCTTTTCTCTATTTGTTATAAAGCCGGGTTAATGGCTTCTTTCCATGGCTGTCGCACCTGCTGGCCTGTAGGGCCCTGGCAGGCTGGGACTGTGTTTATTCTATATGTCCCCAGCGCTCAGCACAGGTGGGGCACCCAGCAAGCGCTCAGGAATAAAATATGTGTTGAACGGATGGATGCCTCCGAAAATGCAGAGCAGGTGAAAAGTCCAGGCTTCACTTAGTTCAGCTCCCCCCGAGCATTTTAATCCCAGTGCAGTTGTGTTAGTCATCTGGGGCGGCTGTAACAAAATAGCACAGGCTGGGGGGCTTCAGTCACAGAAATTTATTTTCTTCAGTTCTGAAGGCTGAAAGCCCAAGATCAAGGTTCCTGCAGATTAGGTTCCTGGTGAGTTCTCTCTTCTAGGCTTGCAGACAGCTGACCTCTCACATGACCGAGAGTGTGTGTGTGTGTGTGTGTGTGTCTGAGAGAGAGAGAGCCCTGTGGTGTCTCTTCCTCTTCTTATCAGAACACTGATCCCATCAGGAGGCTTCACCCTCATGACCTCATCTAGACCCAATTACCCCCAGGGATCTCATGTCCAAATACCATCATGCTGTAGGTTAGGGCTTCCACATATGAACAGGGGGTGGGGGGACACAAGCAGTGATAATCCAAACCTGGGGTTACATGCCCTTCCAGGAGCTGGAAGGAGACCTCTTATGGGGCGTCTTCTCCAAACCCTTCTCTTGCCGATAAGGAAATTGATACTCATGGGTTCAGTGGCTTGCCCATAGCAATGTCTCCATACCTATGTGTTACGTACAAATCTTATCTCTTTGAAGGCCTGATCTTCAAGGGCCTCGAACTGGATTCAACTGGGAGTGCTAATAAGCTTGTACTTATGGACATTTATTCCGTAAAACAATGCTTTTGGCTCCTAGCAGTAACTGTAATTGGAGTTCAGGCCACCGGATCAGGGAGAGGAGGGCATCTCCAGTGATCACCATCATCAGTGTTGACAGCTAAGGTGTGTTTGAGCAACACAGGATCTGGCTGGAGAAGAGAGGTTTTCTGAGAGAAATAAAAACATAAAAATCATTCTCACAGTTTGTTCTTGACCTCAGGGGTGGGAAAAAAGTCAGAATACCTGGTGAGGAATGCAAAGCAAAACCTCCTTTTGGTTGCATAGCCTTACAGCGATGGTGCCAAGGAACCTGGCTTACTCTGTTCTCGTGATGGAAACGTCCCTTTTAAAAGCCAAAAGCTGCTTTTCCCTCATAAAGTCTAACAGTGACCAGTGGAGTGACAAGTAGTTAAACACACACACACACACACACACACACACAAACACACACACGTTTTTCAAGAGGTGACAAGAAAAAAATTTAAAACCCGTTTAATAAAAATGTCTGCCTTCTTTCTAAGGAGAGAAAGAGAGAAGTTGTCACGTTTTTCACCGACTCGGATTCACACGGTCATCACCTTCCTCCCTTCCCTCCCCCAATATGTTAACAGAGCGAATGAATGAATGAACAGACCCGTAATGAGACCTGTGACTTCCATGATGTCACTGTATAGCATGACAATCCAGGGAGGGTAGAATTGTTCTCCTCATTTTGCAGATGAGGCAGCTGAGGATCTGAGAAGTGCAGTGAGTTGTGCACTGTCACACGGCTGGTGGGACTCGGGCTGCAGGCAGCACAGCACGATGGGCTCTCTCCTTGGTGCTCCTCCGGGGGCATTTATCACACTGTATTCCGATGACCTGTTCCCTTTACTTGTGGACAGGAACTCTCTAAGACTTGGTGATCCAGCAACTAGAACCATACTTGGTACAGAGCAAATTTTCAATGCCTTCTGAATGAATGAATGAACAAATGGACTCTGGAAAGCAATGGAATAAAGTGAAGACTGCGTTGGATTTGAACTGATAAATTCTGCGTTCCAATCCCAGCTCTGCCATTTTGCTAACTAGTTCCCCTAATTCTTCTAGCCCTTCGTTTTCTCACCTGTAAGACAGCATGATGTTGATGGTTGTTATTAACCTTCTACCTCCATATTTTCATAAAGATGAAATGAAAACTCACCTGCAGCTCCTGTGGGGTTTGAAGCTAATAGTGACAAATGTAAATGGCCAGTGAGGCTTCTGGAAAGGGAGCAGAAGAGAGCCCTGGCCTGCTCTCTGGGCACCAGGGCAGAGTTGGAAACCACCAGGACACGGAGGGAGGCCCTCACACTGAGCAGACCACAAAAAGCGCTTTGTCTTCAGGCTACCCCCCGCTCACCCCCTGCCACTGGCAGCTGGTGTTAGAAAAAAATGTATGCTGGGAAATAGCAAGGAATGTAAAAAGTTCCCAAATACCAACCTTCTCCCCCAGCCCACGATTTCCACCATTATGGTGGATGCTGGTGGAGGCCACTGTTCTCAGCTGGGGACGCACGTTGGAATCACAAGGCGCATCTGCAGAACCAAAAGGCCTCACCCCTGAGGTTCTGATGTCATTGTCCAGAAAGGAGCCCAGGAACTGACATTTTTAGAAGAACTAGGTAGCTCCAGGGTATAGACAGAATTAGGTTCTACTGAGTTAGTATGTAGGGTTATGCAACCGGGGCGCTGTTGCAAACAGGGCTGTTACAGTACAGTACTATAGAGCCAATTGTGTTGATTGGGTACCTAGGCTAACTTTGTTGGACTTGCGAACAGATTGGACTCATGAACGCGCTTTCGGAACGGAACTCGTTCATGTGTAGGGGACCTACTCTAGTTTAGGCATTTTCATGTTACCTGGCTTATCATCTGGAGTGTAATCCTCTCTGTCAGACCACAAGTTCCGTGACCATAGATAGGGCCCTTGACCCGTTCACAGCAGAATCCCCAGGGCCTTGGACAGGACCCGGCCACAGCTGGCACTCCCTCAATATTTCTTCAATGACTGGACAAATGACCGAGCAAATAGATAAGTCCCGTGTTTGTTTAAACCGTAGCTGCAGGGAACACGTCTTCATTCTTCCTCTCCCCGTGATGAGTTGATTGTATATTTACCTGCTTTTTAAAAATCTACTTGAGGTTTCCCCAATAAAGTGCCCACAGGAAAGCCTCAGTTTTGCTGTTCCTGGCGGGGGGGTGGAGTTCTGTTGCTTCGATTCACTTTCTTCTCTTTTAAAAGATGTTAAAAACTGCTTCTATTCACACCTCCTGTTTCTTTGAAGAGTTCAGCTTAGTGAATGCGTTCATTCATTCATTTGTTCATGTATTCATTGAAAGAACATCAACTGAGTTACTACTACCTGTCAGGCAACACGGCAGGTGCTGGGACAGAAAGATATGCATAGCCTGTGTCATGCAAACCTGCGTGCCCATGGTCAGGTGGCCGCTAGCATCCATATCTTATAGGGAGGGGATTGTCAGAGAGGCCCTGCCCACATCGGTCACATAGCTGCCCCGTGGAAGCCTTAGAAGAGCAGGCCTGAGGCTCAGCACATCAGCTAGTTTTACGGGACGAGGGAAACACAGGCCTTACTGATGAGTGACGCAAGGCCGACCACCTTAGGAATCGTGAGACCAGCCGCCCGGGCCACTGCACGTGTGACCCACTCGCATGGCCTTCTCCATCCTGGAGGGGCTAGAAAAGTTCAGAGCACCTTCCCTGCTCGGTCCAC